AGGTTTCTAGAATAAATTAGTGGAAGAGATTGTTACTAGAAAGAGAGAGATTTCAAATGGCCTCATTGTATGAATCTTATCTTTAAATTAATATTACTAAATTTATGTTAAAGACCATCATGTTATAAAAATAAAAATATAATTAGACCATTTATTCCTAGGTTGTATTAAGAAATACTTTTTATTTTTTTGACAAGAAATACTTATTGTGTTATCTTTTATTTATTTTTAACAAGAAAAATATGATACTTGTTGATTATCTTCTTCTTCTTTTTTTGACAAAAGAAGAAGTTGTTGTACTATATTTTTTTTTGCTTGTTGTATTACTTTTTTTTTTTTATCCTATGAGCTAGAACTAATTTGTTAATCTTAATTAACTAATTAATTAATTATTACTCATATAATGAAATAATACCATGATATAGTAGCTTAATTGAGTTTTTATGTTTTTTTTATAAGTAAATTTAAATTTTTTTGGTGAAAGATGGGGGTGATGGGCACCTAATTATTATTTTTAATAAATTTTTTCTTTTTAAGTCATCAAATTTTATTGCCACAATCGGACATACAACTTTTTATTCATGACGGGCATAGCAAAAATTTGTCAATCACGTGGGGCGAGCAAGGTGGCATAAGCTGTCAAAAATTTGTCAATCACGTGTGGGGAGTAAAGGGGGAGTAAAGTGGAGAGCAAGGTGACAAAAATTTGTCAATCACGTAGGGGGGAGCCAGTTGGCATAAATAACATTTCAAAAAAACCAGGGTGGGTTCATAAAAAGAAAACTGGATCGAAAAATAAAAAAGTAGGAACCCCCCGGTTTTACCGATACTGCATTTGGATCGGTTATAACCGATACCCGATCCGGATCTCTCAATTCCAAATTTGATCGACGATTTTTGAAACACTGATTTATATGGTAACAGATTGGAATTCGGTCGATTCAGAACACTCGCTTATTTTTTTCATTGAACTGTAGCTTTTGACGATTCTTCATCGAGTCAAGTGCAAAAAAATAAAATGATGAACAATTATATCTTGAATTACTTTTAAAAAAAATCGAAACAAAAATTATCAATTCTTTCTATACAATCTACCGATTCCCCTGATCCGACACAATTATGGGTATGACCGATTCGAGTCACCTATCTTCGTTTTTTAAAACCTTGTTCGGTAATAACCAATAAAGTGGTTGATTCAACCAGCTAACCTAAAAGCACATAGGGACTTGTCTTTTCCACTTAATTACCAAACAAAAAAAAAAAGCTAAGGCAAACGTAGCTCACTTACAAAATATATATAAAGAAAAGAAAAAGTTTATATAGAGCCAAGGCTCTACACAATCAAATTGGAGCTCACCTCAACAATTTCACTAGAAGACATTGTTTTGACGCTCAAATATCCTCAATTTGATCATCTTGACATCAAGATGCATGAATATGAGAAAAAAAAAAAAGATTTCAAGTTTTGGAAATAATATATCTCGTAACATACTTTTGCACGGTTAATTTTCAAGATTTTCAATTTTTTATAGATATATTCGATCTTCACTATTTTTGAAGCTTTAAATTGTATAATTAAAGATAAAAATATATTTTAAGGCTATCACAAAGATTTCGAGTGTTGAAACCACATTTCTCGATACTATTTGAAGTTGCACTTTAGATTGATTGTTTAGAGACTATGCTCTTTACAAACCGCACCTATAAAAAAATACAAAACAAATCTAAAAAAATATATTTAAAGTATGATTAAACAAAGTATATCCAAATGAACTTGAAATATGTTGAAACAAATCGATTTTCAAAAATCAATTTGTGCCCATAGTTGTTGAAATTTTTTTAAAACATATGAAAATATAAAACTAAATATTAATGATAAAAAAAAAATTTCAATCTTTACCAAAATGTTAAAAAACATTCAAAAACTCATTACAATATAAATTTTTTGAAAAATTTAAAATATCCCACGACATCACCAAAACTTGCCGAAATCAAGCTAGTAACAGGTTCCGATCTAACCAGAAGGTTCCAAATTGAACCACCGAATTTTGCAAACTCAGCCACGGAATAGAACTAACAAGTCCAAACTCCAAACAACGAAAAACAACGCAATTCAGCCATTTTCTCGGCGCGAAAATTTGAAACGATATCGAAAAGAAACCGAAAAACTCACCAAAAGTCGCAGAACGAAAAGTGGTCCACCCGTCCACAACGTTCCTGCTGGCCTTCACCACCGTCTTCTCTATCCCGTCCCCAATCAACATCAAATTCGTCTTCTTCTCCCCCACGTCCACATTCTCCAAATACTCCCCCGTCTTTATGTAAATGACAAACCTAGTCTTCCCGTTATCTGGAACTTTTGCTATCGCTTCCGATATCGTTGTAAAATCTCCGCTGCCATCCTTGGCAACCACCAAATCTGCATTCGTCTGATTAGCACTGGCCTGCAATGTTCAAAAAACGGTATTAGGCCGAAAGTAGCTATACATAACGGTGTGGAATACATGGTAGTAGGCCGAAACTGTACATAACGGTGAGGAGTAAACGGGAGTTATAACGGATATTTGAGACAAGCTTGTGCCTTCTTATTTCATAACATTTTCAGAGAACGATGGCATTCTAATGCATAATCGACAAAACACCGATACAACGGGTTTATATTACCCTGCTTGTCTCAAATATCGGACGTCATCCGAAATACAATGACCCATGTAAAGATATTTTCGTGACGATATCGGGCGTTTTTCGGTTTATGGAGTGTTTTCATCTGAGCATTGCCGTCACCTGCAAAAGCCTCCGATCTTTGGGCGGAATCCACGCCGGGAAACCACCATCGACCCTTCCATACTCCTCAAACACCTCGCCCGAATCTGAATTTTCCGGCAATTCACTCGCCCTGACTTTTTTGAACATGGCGAGGGAGTTGCTGATGTGGCGGGAAATGTTGACTATGTTTGCTTCTATACGCGAGCGCAGTGTGTGGTTGGCGTATGAGAAGCCGTCGAGGCAGGTGTATTGGTTGGTAATGGCGGCGCTTAAAAAGGTTTGGAGGTGGATCGATGATGATCGGGACGAGGAATTGGAGAGATCGGCGAGGCAGGAAGAGATGTCGCCGAGGGAGGTGGAGAGGAGCTCTTCGCAGTCGGAAAGGGCGCGTTGATCGGGTAGATCGGTGGATGAGATTTCGTGGGAGAGGTTTGAGCAAGAGGAGATGGCTTCGGTGGCGGACTTGGCAGTGAGGTTGAGGGTGGCGGCGATCGATTGGCGAGGAGTGGTTTTCAAGGAGGAGGAGAGAGTGGAGAGGCAGAGGTCGGGATAGAGAGTGTCCTCACACATGTGAGAGTGAGAGAGTGCGGATGACGAGGGTATGAAGAGGAGGAGGAATGTGGCGATGGTGGCAACTGCCATTGTAATGTGAATGGATCTCAGCCTCTTCGCCATGTCTTGCTTCTAGAGAGAGAGAGAGGGGGTCTGGACAGTTTCTCTCTCTAGTCCAGGAGGGTGAGGGAAAGGGGCACTGCAAAATGCCGCGAGAGAGAGAGTTTTTATCCTTTCAAAGGGTGGAAACTCTGTTAATCTGTCTTCTTTGAGGGGTGGGTGGTGAAGAGAGAGAGGGGTGGAGGAGCGCTCTCAGCTACCACTCGCTTCTCCGAACGCGGGCGGGTGGGATATTATTGATGGGAAATATGCTCAACAACGTGGAAATAATGTAATGCAATGTAATGTATGGTTTTTTCAGGGGAGAATGTCATGACTGAGATTACCTGTGTTTTCTGGATGCACGCACAATCCCAAATTAGAGAGAGAGAGAGAGTCCATGGGTCCCACCCAGTTTACTCCTGATCAAATGAAATGCGCGGTCAAGAGAGAGGACTTTTAAGACCTAATTTTTAAAGTCATATAATCTCTATCATGAATATGAAAAAGTAAATAAATTTAAAATTATAAATAATAATTCTAATAAAAAAACATTTGGACCGGTACTTTTCATTTTTTTTAGGACAAGCATGTTATTCTTCCCCACCACAGAAATTATATTCTCGCCCCTTATCTAACATTCCATTGTGAGTGGACGGTAAAAATTGCCTCAATCACAATGTCGTATTTCTACATTATTTTATTTTTAAATTTTTTTTCTATAAATTGTTTTGACACCAAAGTTTGGGCGTCTATTCTTCTATTAAACTCATACTAGCGAAAAATATAAAAAAGATGTTTTCAATAAAATAAAATGACCAAAATACCTTTGAAAGTTTTAAGGAGTATTTTGGTCATTATATGTTATCGAAAATTTATTTTTAATATTTTTATAGGTGCGCCCCAATGAAAAAATGTCACATACCAAATTTCATATTCATACAATTTGTATAACAAAAAACTAAAAATAAAATACTTTGAAACATCAGATCTAAGATCAAACGGTGAATGGCGGCTCTCTTGATCAAAATTGGACGGCTGGATGGTAAAAGGAGGATAAAACTTCTATGCTGCAGGGGAAGCATAGAAACCTTCCCCTTATTTTTATACGAAACACTTACTTGCATCCATATTTAAGATGGATGCTTTACACTTTCTGCCCATGTATGTAAAAATGTGGTCCAGCCCATGTGAAATAAGTTTCCTTGTGAATATAGATTTCTCGGTTTACTCGATCAGATTTTAGAAGAGAAGAGTTTACTCTTATGTACTGCGCACTTTGCGCATCACGCAAAATTCAATGTGCAATATTCACACATAAAGTGTACCAATGTTAATGTTGCCTGCATTTATGATGAGCGTTGTACGACTTGCATTACGTTTCTCAAAATACATGCAACATGAATTACTACATAATTGCACTTAATACGCAATCTTGGGTACGGTGTATAGAAAAGTGTTTTGGTGAGTCGGCCGGCTCATGCAATCTGCCTACAAAATATATGGGATACAGTTTCTATGAGACCAACCCACATATTGTGGAAATGCGGGCTTGGCAATAAATATATTTAAAAATATATAGTTTGATCTTAGCTTAGAGAATATATAATTTTTAACATAGAGATCATGAGTATAAAAAATATAAAATTTCAAAACTAGAAATAATATTTATATTAAGAGAACAATTGGATCGCTTGTTTTGAGATGGACCACTTATTTGCATCATCTTCAAGATGGATGCTTTATACCTTTGGATTGCATATTGTAGAAATGCGATCCAGCCCACATGTCGGTAATTATAGAAACAAGATATTGAATTTCATATCTTGTATATTACAAGATATTAAATTTTCTATATTGAGTTTCTTATTTTATGAGATTACTGTAATGAGATTTGTTTCTTAAAAAGTTAAGAATTGTAACTCTATAAATATCTGGTAAATCAGAATAATCCGTATGAATAATATATTGGTTTACCCTCCGTGAATATATGCACCATTGTCGAACCACGTACATGTTGTGTTGATTTATTTATCTTCTCTATTTCTATTATTGCAACTTCAATATGCTATCAAAGCAGAAGTCTTGAGACTTGTGTTAAAAGTCTCTACAATCGATTTATTAGCGCAGTTTGCGTGGATCTTTCTTGCACTCTCTCTATGATCGTTACTTTTCGTGACTATTATTTCCAAGGGCAAAAATAAATTTCATATAAATTGATTGCAAACTAGCTTGCACAGACTTTTGTACCAGTTGTCAAGATGAATATTGTTCGTGTTCTTTTGTCTATTGCAGTTAATTATAAGTGATCACTACATCAGATGGATGTGAAAATTGTCTTCTTACATAGGGATATTGAAGAAGAAGTCTATAGAAAAGGAAAAAGGCAAAAGGCCTTCTAAAGAAAAAGAAAAGAAAAAAAATTCTTGTATGCAAATTAAAGATGGCTTTGTATATGACTTAAACAATCACCTCGTGCATGATATGCGAAACTCAGTTTAGCTTTGATGAGTATTGAGTTTTTTTTTAAGTTCAACTGGTTTTTTGATGTTTACAAAAAGGAAAACTTCAAGTATAACAGTTGTACTGATTTATGTTGACTATATTATCATTACAGGTAATGATAAAGAAAGCACCTTGAAGCTTAAAAATTATTTACACAAGAAATTTGACATCAAAGATCTTAGTCAACTAAAACATTTTCTCGGTATTGAAGTAACACATTAAAAAAAATGACTATTCATTTCTCAAAAGAAATATGTATTAGATCTGTTGAAAGAAACTGATAAACTAGGAGTCAAACCCGTTGACATTCCTGTTGATATTAATTGTAAGCTTAATTCAATAAATGAAAACCTCTTGAAGATGTGGGTCGTTTCAAGAGAATTGTGAACAGATTAATTTATTTGATAGTGATACGACCAAATATAACATATACGATTAGTCTTGTGAGTCAATTTATGCATGCTCCTAGATATGTAAGCTGTTAATAGGATTTTTAGATATCTTAAGTCGTAACTTGACAAAGGTGTTTGGTTGAAACCAAGTGGTCACACTAATATTATTGGTTATTCTGATGCCGACTGGACTTGTAGTCTAATTGATATGAGGTCTACTATCGGTTATTATATATTGGTCGGAGGAACCTTATTTACTTGGAACAACAATACACAAAATGTAGTTGCTCGATCCAGTGTATAGGCTGAATATAGAGTTATGGCTTCAACTACATGTGAATTGATGTGGCTGAAATCCTTACTTCGAGATATTGGGTTCCCAATAGTCGATCCAATTGAGATGTTATGTGATAATCAAAGAGCTATACATATAGTATCCAATCCATTTTTTCATGAAAGAACCAAGCACATAGAAGTTGATTATCACTTTGCGAGGAAAAATGTTCAGTACTCCCTACGTTCGAAGTGAAGACCAACTTGCAGACATGTTTACCAAAGTTATTGCAAAGATAAAGTTTCATCAGATATTGTCCAAGTTGGGCTTCATTGATATCTACGCACCAACTTGAGTGGAAGTGTTGATAATTATAGAAACAAGATATTGAGTTCTTATCTTGTATGTTATAAGATATTAAATTTGCTATATTGAGGTTCATATTTTGTGAGATTACTATTGTAGTGAGATTTGTTTTCTAAAAAGATAAGAATTGTAACCCTATAAATATCCGGGAAACTAGAGTAGTCTTTATGAATGATATATTAGTTTACCATCCATAGATATAGGCACCATTATCGAACTACGTATATGTTGTGTTGATTTATGTCTCTTCTCTATGTCTATTATTGCAACTTTAATGCCACATGAAACAATTTTCCAAATATATGTCGAAGATATAGTTTTGATATGTAATTTTAGAGTCCAATAATCTCAGCCATGAGAAGTACTTAAATTTACTTTTTAAAAAAAAAAATATAAGTATTTTTTTTAATTCTTTTTTTTTTTTCACTATTTGTAACATTTTTTGACATCGTCTTATAAACGTTAGATAGACAACGGACTGCACGGTAATGGAAGAGTGGGCTGACCCACCAAAACCGCGTGCTTCTTGTTGATCTTCTTAGGCTCAAAACTTACTAGTTTACTGCATACAACTCAATTTAGAATTCAGTGTTCACCCTCTTGCATCTCGGCCCCCCCGAAAGGGTGGGGTCACGTAGCATCTTTAAGATAAAATATGACATCGACCCATAATCATAGGAGTAATTTACGCGTATGGCCTCCAGAAGTCTACTTATTTAAAAAATGAAAAAAGTTTATATAAGGATGCTCCCTTATAACGTAGATCTACGGATGCCCCCCAAAAATCCATCGGAAAAAGTAATTTTAATATTGAAAAACCCTTTGATTGATCATCTCGACATCGAGATGGTCATAAATCCATCGGAAAAAGTAGTTTTAATATTGAAAAACCCTTTGATTGATCATCTCGACATCGAGATGTATGACTATGAAAAATAAAAAAAATTTAAGTCTCATAAATAGTGCATTTTACAACATGTTATCTACATCATCTATTTTCAAGATTTTCATATGTTTATAGATCTACTTGATATTAGCCATTTTTGAAATTTAAAATTTTATAATTAAATATAAAATAGATTTTGAGATAGTCTTAAGAACATTTATATAGTCTTAAGAACATTTTACATCTAAATTATATACCATGATAAAATTTGAAGGTGCACCTTACCTCTACACCTACGGATGCGTCCGTATGCAAACTGCACCCTTAAAAAATTTATATATTAATATTTAAAAAATATTTTATAATTTTATGCTATTATGTTTTTACTCGTAAAGCTTTTTAAAGGACAAGATTAAAAATCTAATTTTGAGATGGAATTTTTTACTTAATTTTTAAGGACACGTAATCTCTAGCATGGAGATCATTAATATAAATAAATAAATAAATTTTAAAAATTAGAAATAATAATTATATCAAGAAAACATTTGGACCATTAGTTTCAATTATTTTTAGATGGACCACCTATTTGCATCCATCTTTAAGATGGATGTGCTATACCTTGGGACCGCATATTGTATAAATGCAGTCTAGCCCACATGAAACAATTTTCCCTTTTTAAATGATGATATTTTTTTTACTTCGGATTTTGGGGATCCTGAGTTTAACATTTCTATTCTAAGGAGGCGTAAGAGCACTTTGGAATTTTAAAATTGAAGTATTTTAGTAGAGCAAGTACTTCAGAACTTGCAAATTGGACATATTTAAGTCGCAAAAATACTCAATGATTGATTAAGTTTGACAAAGAAAACTCTAGATTTTTAAGTTCTAAAGTATTTGCTCAACTAAAATACATGGGATTTTCAAATTCCGATGTATATTA